CATACATTTATGCTTAGCTTTTGTCGTGAGGTCTGCCCACTCTTCCGGGTTTTGCTTAGTTTTGCTTTCTAATAGTCATTACTTTTTAGCTACTCATGTCCCCATGCCAGTGACCATATATCCTACATAACTGGAACCAACACATATATTAGGCATGCTCAGTGGCCTCTCACAGGCAAGAAGCTAAGTTCTGCAGCACAGCTCAGTCTCTTTCCTGTGTCCTTTTACAAAACACAATGGTTTGGAGTGGTCTGCTTGCCACATAAGATACAGGGTAGAGAACTTTGAAACCCAGCTTCCACCTAGAGTCATCATTCTGTGCTTTGTACCATCTTACATGCCTGATTTCTCATGGATTTACTTCACTGATGAATTTACCAAATGGGTAGTATCTTAGCTTTTCTTCTGTGATAAAACACCGTGGCACAAGCAAATTAGGGGGAAAAGAGTTGATTTTTAGCTCACAGTTCCAGGTCATGATCAATCCATCATTGTGGGCAAGTCAAGGCAGCAGAAACTTGAACTGGCTGGTCACATCCAGAGTCAGGAGCAGAGGGAGAAAGAATGTATGAAAGCTTGTTCTCAGCCCTTTTCCTCCACTCTGACATAGTTCTTGGTTCTCTGCCTATGGAATGGTGTCACCCCCAGTGGACAGATCTTCTTACCTCAATTAACAGTCAAGATAATCCCCCACCAGACATGCCCATGGGCCAATATGATCTAGACAGTCTCTCCCAGGTGATTCTGTATTGTGTCAAGTTGACAGTTCAGACTAATCACCACTAATGGGAATGCCAAAAATGACAAAGTTAATTCTTTAATCCAGAGATAAAAGGGCCAGAAAATTATTAATAGCATTCATTCATCCTTCAGATATCAACTACCTGGTGCCCTTTGCATGCTGGGCTCTTGCCGCAGGTGTTGTATCTTATATCTGTATCATGCCTTGTTATTTAGAAAGGGTGTCACAGACGCTTGTTCCTACAGTACTCACCAGTCTTGGAAGGTGGGCAGTCACATCTTCACTTTGCCTTTACAGGGAGATGCAGTGAGTTACCTAAAGATATACCTGGTTCTTCGACCTCTGGCCCAGTTTTTCACTCTGCTGTCCCTCCTCAAGTAACAATACTGCCACTGAGTACAAAACACCAGTTGATCTCAGCGAGATCAGGGGAACCTGCCTGGGCTCATGCACCAGACCTGACTGGGCTGGACTGCCTCTTACTGCCCTCTTATTTTTGTTTCATGCCAGTTGAGTGGTGTATCACATCCCAGCTGATAAAAGCTTCCATTGCTAAAAGGTGTTGGTGGTCTTTGAAGGTGAATACCATTCTTATCCAGCCCAGGGGACTTGCTCATAAACCGATTTGGCTGACGTGTATGTTAGTGGCTTAGAACTCAGAAGCCATGAACAACCCAAATTTGCCTGTTTGTACAGATTGCCATGGAGGATGTCCTTCAAATGGCTGCAGTAATAACCTCTCCACTTCACCCCTGGGGAATGTCAGGAGGACATCTATGGTCAAGCTAGCCTTCCAGGCTACTCAGTCTCTTGCTTACCCACAGATATCACTTGGTACTCCCACCCCTGATTCTTTTGTTTCTATGCCTCTTCTTGCTCCCTAGGGCTCTAAGATGGCACCTGAGGCCCCCTACCATCAAGCTGATGATAGTAAGGTTGGATCATAGGTAGTAGACTAATCTGTGTTGAGTATGCAATGGATTCTTAAATATATTGTTTTTCCTCCCCTCCCTCAAATATTCAAAGAGCTCTGATTTTCATGTTCCTTTTCTATGTTCACTGATGGTAATGTGGATATTATTTCAGATCTCTGCATTACACCCTTAATATTTGTCACAATATCAGATTTTTGGTTAGAATAGTCATGCTTCTTCCAACCCCTTTTGGGGAGTCATTCCTTCTAGTATGGCCTCCCTCAAAAGAGGACATCCTTCTGAGTGCTGGGTCACCCCCTGGTTTTTCCAGGGCTATCTTCTCACATTTCTTCCCAAAACACACTCAGGATCCCTGCCCCATTTTTGGCCCATGGTTGGCTTGTCTAAACTTCAGGGACTCCATTTTTCTTCTTTGCCCATCCTTGCCTCTGGTCTTCCCACTTAAACTAGTTCAGCTTAAGAAAAACTTACATTTGCTTAAATTGTGATCTCTCTCTTTCTCTCTCTCTCTCTCTCGCGCGCGCGCGCGCACGGAGAAATTCTAAAGAGTTAGAGTGAGAAAGATAAGGTGTTTCTGGTGGTGAGCAGTTTTGAGACTGATAGTCACATTGTCATTCAGTGTGATCACAGAGCAGCAATTGGATTGATCTGGGCTCCATGCTTTCCCCTTAGCTCCACAATCACCAATACAGTCAGAACACAAGAAGGTTTTGGACCCATTTATTACAATACTTGGCTTTATAGGCACTAGAAGCCTTAGCAATAGCCTTTCTTGGGACACCAGCTATATAACTTAATATCCCCAAGCATCCTTCCCCGTTCTTCTCAATGTTATGTTTATGTGGTCCTTTTGTAGATTTTGAGAACTCTCTTTTTAGTTTTTATTTTTCTTTGGTAATAAAGCCAGGACACTTAGAAACTTTCTCACTGGAAACTAGTTTGTGAATACCATAAAGACAGTATTCAAAGTAAAGGGTCACAATTGTACCATTTTTTTTCAGAGAACAAATCCATAAATATAACACTAGAAAGGCAGGTAAAAAGAACACTTTACCTCAGCCAGCCTTGCACTGTCTTGTAGGGATTCATATTCTTCCATCAGTATTTTTCCCCAGAAGTTCCTTCTCACTCCTCTTTGCATGGTTAGTCAGTACCAGGAAAAGCATTTGAGCCAATAATTCTTTGGGAAAGAATTTTAGGATATTTAGCAGCATCCCTGGTCTCTAGCTCCTAGATGCCAGTGACACCCCTTTTCCAAGGCATAACAATCAAAAAAGTGCATCCCCTAAGGGGAAAACACTTACCTGGTTGATAACCACTGGCATGTCAAAAGGAGGGCTATTTCTTTACCTGTTTACACAGTCATGAGCGTATCTGAATATGGTACCAAATGGAAGCTGAATTCCATTGTTTATCTAAGTTATTAGTGAATTGCAGACTCCTGATTAATTCCTGAGAATAGTGTACCTTTACTTCTTAAAGAACCTTTTCCAGTGGTTCAGGATAGCCTGCACATGTGGCAGTGATGTGACTTGTAGACTCTGCCTTTGCTACCCTTTGCTTTGATGTGCTTTGGGCTCTTCTACGGAGCAGCATTGTGGAAATACATAGTGTGGGAGCCGACACTTTGTTGTTCCATATATGGAAGCCAAACTGGTATGATGAGTAGACCTCATAGCCTATATGGACTCTACAGAGTGAGTTGAAGGACCCCCCTCCAAGCAACATCACCATACACAACTCTACCCCCACCACACACATCCTGCACATTACTACCTTCCTGACTACAGTGTGAAATGTCCTTGAGTTCAGAGTATATGATTTCTTATTAAAATGAAAGGAAAACCATTATTTATGAAGCCCTTACTTTGAACTTAGGACATGTTTTCTACCTCAACAGGTACTTAGAAGTATATTTATTTGATGAAAAGAAAGTTGGAAAATTATAATAAAATGAGATTCTCTAGAAAACCTTTTAGAAATAGAAGTGAGAAAATGCAGCCCATGAGACTAAATGTGTCTTTTTTAAAAATGATAATAATATATACTGAACTCAGACAAACTGCTGTGAAATTCACATTTAACTTTCATAGCAGCCTAGAGAGGGAGATACAATTATTCTCTCCATTTTACAAATGAGAAACTTGGGTAGACTCTACCTCAAAAGTTACCTAGAACTAGCCTCTGTTAAAGATCCAAAAATGCCTCATTAAGTTAAAATTTATGCTGACCAGAATTAGTCATGTTGCCCCAATTGTGCTAACCTGTGGTAAAAGAGCAATAGTTTACAATATGTTCAAAATCATAATTAGTAACAGTAATGAAACTTCAGCTCTCCCAGTTTCAGAGTCACCTTGGAAGTCCAAATCTTTGACATACCACAGCCTTTCTGGGTAGCTGGAAAAGTGAGGATATTCTTTCTGTCTCTTACTATAAGGACTTTAATATGTCTTTATTAAGTGAATCATGCAATGGATTTTTTATATATATAACTCCAAGTTGTATAAGTAACTCCAAGTTGAGTTACAATCTTATGCAAAGCTGTTTAAACAGCTGTCCAGTGTTTCCTGTAGACCATTATAGGTAAGTTACGCCAAAAGCCTCCATTTGCAAAGAATGCCTTGGTAGACCCTGGAAGAGGTAATATTCAAAACAGATTTTCCTATGCCTCCCCAGGGTACCTGTGCAAACCTCCTCCTGCCTGAGACCATGCTGTGAGTGAGCTCCATGTTGACCTGCCTACCAGTTGACCAGATCTATATAAATATGCATAATTCTTCCTGGGCAGAAGAACTCACCTCCTACCATTGCCTTTGTACCCAACCCATACTGCTTTAAAATTGCTTTAAGGGCTAGATTTTCTAAAACATCCCAGCGACATGACTTTTGTTTGATTATAAATACTGTTGCAAAGAACCAGATATGAGACAATAATCTCACCCTATCAGTTCAGAGGTAACTATAAATCCAACCAATATCATGGCCTTGTTAACATGGAGCTCTGATAGATAGCCCTGGGCGTGCAACTTTCATGCTAATAGCTTTGCTTGCTCAGTGAGGTAGTGTTGAAATGAGAGGCCGTCTCCTTCTTATAACCAACAGTGTATTTCCATTTGGAGTTTTCACTCTAAGGATATGTGAAGATTTACAGTCTAAATAACTCTTTTGTTGTTTGCTGTGCCTGGCTTCTGATTCCAGTAGGCCTACAAATCTTCCAAGATTCTTCCTGCCTAACCTGTCCCAATTTCCCTGGGCCATGCCCTTCCCCTCTGAATGCTCTCAGAGTGCATTATGACCGTTAATTTTTCTTTTTCTCTCCACAGTGTGGTAAAGGAGCAGAAAACTTTGACAAATTCTTCACACGAGGGCAGCCCGTCTTAACGCCGCCAGATCAGCTAGTCATCGCTAATATAGACCAGTCTGATTTTGAAGGGTTCTCGTATGTCAACCCCCAGTTTGTGCACCCGATCTTGCAAAGTGCAGTATGAAACTCACCAATGAGAGATCAAACACCTCCACAGCCCCTAGACCTCCAGCAGTGGGAAATGATTCTTAAGCCTAAAATTTTAAGACCATGGCTTTGTATCATGTTCCACATGGAGGCCTGTGAATTGTAGGGTCAGTAGTCCATATGTGATCAACTTTTCAAGGTCTCTCTTTCACTTACAACCAAGAACATTATCTTAGTAGGAGATGACATAATGTACATTGTCCAGTTGAAGTATGTAGAAGTCATATCTGGCTGTAGGTTAATTCTTCCTAGAAAAAAAAAAGACTCTTATCCCTTTTGGGGTACAATTTGATATATTCTTTGGATTGTCACCATCAGGATCCCCCAATCACAAATATTAAAGTGAACCTGCCCCTGGTCCAAGGGCTGGAACCATCTCCACCCAAGATATTTTTGGAATAAAGAACGGGATGCCCAAAGAGTAAGGAAAGAGAGACTGGGGTAAAAGAGTCTTCAAGAAACCCATCACTTCCTGCTTCAATGGAAATAGTCCCTAGAATCTGAAAGGCCAAGATGAACCTAATCACTCTTCCCAAACATCATAACATAACCATAGTCCAGCAATTTAAGAAAAAAAATTCAGATACATATTCATTGAATTGATCATCTGTGTTACCCTAACTTGGTTGATAACTATGTTGACACTTTCATTCTTTTTAAGAGGCCAAATCATCTAAGGACCTAGCTAAACAAGCATATGAAATCATTTCAGATCAAGAATAAACCAGTGTCTATTTACATTTAATCTCTGGGAGATTACTCTTCAATCCAGGGTGCCATCAGTAATCATGCCACTACTCAAGAGTGTTGTTAGCCAATCCCTACACGTAACAATATTTTGCTACCTTTATTGTTACCTTTCCTAAGAAGCTGAAGTGTATGCCCTATCCCTTTTTGTACTTATTTATTTAATAAGCTGCAGTGTCATTTATGAAAGTATGATGTATAGTAACTTAATCAAAGTATTGACTAGCATCAGCCCCTACTGATTGATTTTCTTCCTTTCTGTAGCCCTGACATCCACTTAGGGATGGAAACAGTACAATTTGGGTTCCCATTTCCAGTACCTATTGAATGACTCACCTGGAGCTGTAGAATCAAGATACTTGGATGCTTATCAGCTCAAAGATATTTTCTTGCTAGAAAGATTTTAATATGTTTTGCAAGTGCATCATGCAATGGATTTTGCATGTTTATAATAAACCTTAATAACAAGTGAATCTATATTATTGAAATAATTGTATCAAGTATAAAGAGTATTATAATTTTTATAAGACACAATTGTGCTATCTTTGTGAAGGTTCATGTTTCCAATATGCTTTCATGATTAAGTTTTAGCTTTATTCTTTGCTGCTATGCTTTCTCATCCCTTCTCCCCTGCACATTCACACTGTATCAGATATGTTAATTTTTTAATGTAGATGTAATTTCAAAAATGAATGGCTTCTTTACATGTTTAATTAGACTTTTACTATATATGTGTATATATGTATATATTTGATTCTACCTGCAAACCACGACTTTGTGGGGATTATTTTTGAGATGAGACTCTCTTAGCTTCTTAATGTCATCCTCTGTTTGGGTCCCTCCTTCACTCTTCCTCTTGGGGACAGCTGGAAATGTTTGATTCCAGTATGCCTAGTACATCTGTGTATATGTGGCATTGTTACAGCACCTGGGCTGAGCTCTGTGTGTGTGTGTGTGTGTGTATGTGTGTGTACACATACACATGTGTCTATGTGTCTATGTGTGTCTTTTGTTCTTTTCAGCCTGTGACTGTTGGATACTCTAGGAATGAGAGGGTTAGGAAGAATTCTTCTGTTTTGTGAATATGGACATGCCAGAAGCCTATGATCTGTCTTGCAGTCCCAGAATGACCCCGCATTTGCTTCAGTACACATAAACTTCATGAGACAAACTGTTAGTCAACACCTAAATACACCCATCCCTGAAGCTGTTACAAGCAGACTCTTTACAGAGGCTACAAAGTTTCTCGCAGCTGTGGCTAGAACTGGCCATTCCAGTCTCTGAGGAGCACATCTTTGGCAAGACACCTTCCCAATGCAACAGGCTCAGAAGAGCCAGGCTTCTGCAGCACAGTGAACAAGTGAAAATGAAAGTTCTTGTCAGTCCATGTAGAAAGCTTCTCTATTTCCACCCAAAGCATCTCCCAGCTGCTCTCCTCTTTGTTGATCTCTGTTTGCCTGAAGTTCACCTAACATACAACTACCAAGAGTCCTTGAGGAAAGAGGTATAGGCTTTTCTGAAAACCCCTGACCAGAAGGAGATGTGGAGTAGGGAATGGGCCAGACCAGAAAAGAGCAGTTTCTTCTGCCATCTTTTATGAACTCTAGACTTCAGAACTCAAAAAGGGTCCTCACGTGTTGATTTTTGAGGTTCTGCTCATCAGGGGGACGTATCTCGTGGATATGACCTTATTAAAACTGCTATACTTGGTCCAACATTACAGGAACTGGTGTGTAGAATAAACCTAGGAAATGAAAGGATTGGTCTTTCCCAGGTGGAGCAGCCACAGGGCTGAGTCCCAGCCTAGCCCCACAAGGAGGGAAGCCCCAGAAAGGAACAAAAGGGATTATGGACCATTTGTCCCAGTGTGCCACGCTGCCTGTTTTAAGCAAACAGCAGGCTTGAGTTTTCCCTTAAACAGCCACCATACAGCTTCAAGTTATTCTGTTTCTCTAGGAAATGTATTCTCAGCCCCTTGGATGGCTCGCATACTTAGAATATGAGGGATAACATTCTTCAGGAAAGAACCCAGATATAGAGCCAGCACTTTGCCTAAGGAACAGCACACTGGAGAACAAACTTGGGGGAAGTGATAAAAATCAGGGCATAAGGAAGTATTTGTGATGTAGCCTGGTTTATACATTGCTTAGTGCTAAATTTAGATAAAAGCTAATACTTTAAAGATATAAGCAGGCCACGGCAGTTACTGCTAAAAGACTAAACTTGTGGATAACCATTAACAACTGTTACCCACAGAATCGACTGATAAAATTCTACACCATTGTCCTACTTCACAGGCCTTGTGTGAGACAGGGCTGCTGGGGAAAGGCTGCTATTTGAACTTGAGCAGTCACACTGGAGGCTGGAATCGGGAGGATGCCTTGAAGGGTCTAGTCCCTGGCAGGAGCTGGGACACGGAATCTCTAGAAAGCACCTGCTCCCAAACGCTGCCTACATTGCCAGGGCCTGTGGAGAAGAATCTAGTACAATCTAAGTCTCCACAGGACCCATCGGGCTGTGACCCAGAAAGTCCATTCAAATCATTTTGCATTATATTCCCTTGGAAGGTGCTTTCCTCTGCAGCCACAGGCCGATGAGCTGGCAGCTGTGCTCTTGGCATGGCATCTAAAGTCACCCAGCACTTGGGGTGAATGGAAGGAGCTGGAGTGTGCTGCCAGACGCTGCCTTTGGAGGTTAATGGGGCCCACCTCCAGACGGGAACTAATTTATGAGGTGATGAGAAGCCCCAGGAACTAATGATTGCCACCCCCCTCCTTGTGGCCTAGTTTGAGCTCATAGCCTTTTCTTACGGGATGCATTAGGCTTTTTCTTAGGAATTTTAGAAACTCAGGAGTTAAGCTTTCTGTAAGCTTAACTTCAGATGGTCACTTGAAAGTATCAGAGGCCGCTATGAACCCAGCCAGGGGTTGCTGATCACCTCGTGAGCTAAAGTTCTTAGCAGAGTATGGTCACCCCAAAAGAGCCTGAAGTCAACATTAGAGAAAAAGCAAGGTTTAAGTGAAGCCCGAAAGACATGACAGGTGGGGAGAGGGGCTGCAGCACCTGCGGGGCTTTCCATGTGGGGGGAGGAGGTCATTGGTTCAAATGGAAGTCACCAGCTGCCAGTCTTCAAGTGCATGTCAAAAGAGCCTGAAGTCAACATTAGAGAAAAAGCAAGGTTTAAGTGAAGCCCAAAAGACATGACAGGTGGTGAGAGGGGCTGCAGCACCTGCGTGGGCTTTCCATGTGGGGGGAGGGGGTCATTGGTTCAAATGGAAGTCACCAGCTGCCAGTCTTCAAGTGCATGGTTTTTTTTGCCAGAACACATTCTATTGCTGCTGCTCAGAAGACACCAAAACTGCCCAAATGCCAACAATATTGCCGTAAGACGTCCTTTCCCCCTCACCTCCTTGAAATGCCTTGTAGTTCTCTGTGTGTAGAACCGGACCATCCACAGACCCCGGATGCCAGTCAGTTCCCCTCTGTGGCTTCCTGCTGAGAATTACAGCAGCTGAGATTAGATGCAGAAGTCAGAAAACGATGCACACTTTCGTTCCCACCTGCTTTCACTCAGCAGGAGAAATAGGAAAGGTTTTATGCTGGGCTTTTTTTTTTCTCCATCCTGAAGAGGGGAAAGTGAGAGTCTTATGTTTTTTAAAAGCCTGAGAAAGGCAACACCGCCTGACAGTCATTTTCTCACCTCACTCTTATGAAGTCATCTATTTCTTATGTGTACATGTCACACTGTTTCCTGTTTGTTTATAGCCCAGGAAGGACAGGGGCGCCTGTTCGCTTGCGGAGCACACCAAACAGTCATGCTCAGGAGATGTGCACTGAGCCAGTGACCCAAAAGGATGAGCACTACAAGGACAGTTACAAGCAGGACAAAGAAACGGGCACTCTGGTTATTAGTGGCTACACACTAACTTGACAAGGAGGGTTGGAAAACTTTGTTCTTACCATTTTCCTTGAGCTGCAGTTTATGAAATACGCTGACCTGTCAGCAATCCTGTTGTGTCCCATTTGGGCCAGTGCAACAAATCTACAGGACATTGTGTCTTTCTGTTGTTTCCAGAAAATCAGGAAAGATCGCCTGGGTTGTGCATGGATGCAGGGGTTCATCTAGAATGGCGTCCACCACAGCTCTGGTAATTCTATAATGTCCAGACTCCAGAGTTCAAAGCATGTGGCTCAGTTTTCTCTGTCACTCGTTTGTGTGGTCAGGTGTCAGTCAATAACCACACAGAATGCACAGTCATTAAACAGCCAGCCTTACTATGTCCCAACCCAAAAGCCCACAAGTTCCAAAGACTTTTTTTAACCTCAAACAAGAAAATTTGTTAACTCCAATAGGACAACTAAATATACTGGGCTATTTGTACTTTTTTATAGAGAACTTTAATAATGCAATTCTTTTAGAATGAGTTTTTAAAAATAAGCCTAATAAAAATTTCATAAAATTCCAGTTCCACCTAGGAGGATTCCACCTAGGTCAGCTAGAGCACATTCCCACTGATGGATTTTCCCATGCTGGTAAAGCACAGAGTCCACACTGAGGACAGCTGCCAGAGATTTCAACATTTTCACACTTAGGAAACGTGGCTGGCTTGCCCCCCTTACAGATGCAGAAAGCATTCTCGGGGATCTCAGGGACCCCTCTCCTTGCTCTCTGAGGCTCTGTGACCACTGTTTGGCGGGAAGGGGATGCTTCTTCAACTCTTCCCCTTAGTCCCTTCTGCCCCAGGTCTCTCACATTCGGTGAAAATTCAGAGATGCCCTATCAGGATTTTGCACATTGGAAAATTCACAAATGCTTACAATTCCAAGCAGAGCCAGCAGCAGACCTGCCTAAGGCATCTGTCCACAGTTCCCGTGTGTGAGTAGACAGAACCCCACTTTTCAGAAAACAGGTATCTACTTTGTAAGAACCCTTTTTCTAAAGACAAAAGGCGGCTTTGCACTTTCTGATTAAACAACTGTTTTTTGTCTCCTGTTTAATTTAAAGAGTATCTTCCTGTGATCATTTGTAGATTTTTATTAATATTCTGCCTGGAAAAATGAGATTCTTTCCTTGGGGTTAGTAGACTGTTCAAAATTATATACACAGAGGTGGTTACTATTTTGAGTCTAAAGTTTTTCTAAAAATTGACCTCATAATCCTGACTAGAAAGGTCTTTCAGAATAACTTTTATAGATGGTCAGAAACATTTGAAATTTACTTTTCCTACATGATTTTTGTTTTGTTTTGTGAAGGACATGCCATGTTTAAATCTCTATTTGAAAAACACCATGGGATATCCCAAATTGGTTTGGAGGAAGAAACGGATGTTGAGGTTTTCTCTGCCTGAATGAGCCACTACTGGTAAAACGTAGAGGCCATCCCACTGCCCAATAGTGTTTGGTTGCATAGCAGGTAAATGGATATGTAAATTGCTGCATTGCTTTCTTCGATTTGTATAACCTCTAATCTTCATTTGCATGATGCTCTTTGTTAAATGCATTCGTTGTAGATTGGAAGCCAGTGTGTATGAATAAAGATCCTGATCATTGCT